CTGATATCTTTATCTGCTGAGAAGTTAGCACTGCAGCACTATAGAAGAGCATGCTGTAGAAGAGTATAAGAGATACTTAAAGTATTAACTTATCAATTTATAAAGCATCTCAGTCATCTACTTTAATTAAAGTGAGATTCTCTTCAATCAGTAATTGATCTCTGTAATACTTTTAATAGTAATATCAGCTGATCTCTTCTTAAGATTAGCTATTCTGAGATGTTTTTTTATCTCAGAGATTCATGCTTTCATCTTCTTTTACAGATGAGTAAGAAGAATCTTCTCAGTCTTGACAGAATCTGCTAATACTTGAAGCTTCAAGATTCTCACTCTGTACTGCTTGAGCATCTGAGCTTCTTATCAGAGCTGATATAACATCTTCTTGTAGAGTAGATAATACTTACAGAGAGATAGAAGTTATTATTACAGATATAATAGAAATAACAGAAGTGAGAGAAGAGACAGATGTATAAGATCTCTCTCTTCTTCAGCTGCTTAGTACAGTGCAGATAAGTAGCAGTATTAATCAGAGACTGTATCAGAGCCTTCTCACAGAGAGAAGATAAAGAAACTGCAGAACTCTGCAGACTCAACTCAGCAGTATCTTAAGCAGAGCTCAGATATGCTGTGAGAGAGAAACTATGAATTAGACTTCTCAGAGTCACTGTCTTCAGAATCAAGCTCTTTCCAGGTTTCTCTTCAAATAATCACATGAGATCATATGCCACTGTGCTGGCTGAGAGGAGGGGGGGTGTTGCAACAGTGATGAGAGAGGCAGAGAAAGAACTGAACACAGACAAACTGATCAGCAGAAGAGATGACATCTCACTGCAAGATATGATAACTATCATCACAGCTGCAAGAGAAGTAGAAGAAGAAGAAGAAGAAGATGTGACAATGAGAGCAGTGCTCTCATAGTCTGTCAACACTGCTGTCTTCATCTCTAACCTGGCTTTCTTAGCAGTCACAGAGACTGCAGTCACATCATAAAGATGTTTATTACTTACTAGAAAATGTCAGAATAAGTTCTTTATTATTCTTTAAGAATGATACTCTCATACACTCACTGTTACAATTGAGAGAAGAAGAAGAAAAATATTTCATAGAAGAAGAGATCTTTTCAAAAAATTCTATCACTACTGTTAGCTTTGTCTCTAAAAATACATTACTTTTGCAGAGAATTTTATATATAGAATAGAATATATTAAGAGATCTATAAGTCACTTATTAACTATATTTTTCACATTTCAAATTAATATATAAGAAACTCATTTATCATATATTTGATTTGAATAAAGATGAGAAAAGAAAGATCTATACAGTCAGCAGAAAAACTTATCTATTTCTTTATATTATACACAGCACATGCACTGTTAATCAGTTGATAACTATTACTATATAACAAAGATAATTTCTAATCTGATAATCTTAAGAGTATCAGAACTATATTTTTAAAGAGAAGAATATTATCATACTCTCAGCTGTGTTAAGACTCTGTTACAGTTTCACATAACTTATTAATTTTATACAGATGATTTCATCTCATCTGAATCAGTTTTCAACTACTCTATAACATTATTCAGATATATTATAGAAAGATCTGATTGATGAATATGAGAATCTCACTTCTATATAAGATCAGCAGATTACTCTTTCTTAATAATAAGATACTGCTGAGATATCACTCTGGCTATTCTTACTTATGAAATGAGAGGAGAATATTCACTCATTGTCTATATAGAATAGCTAGATGCTGACTTCTTATTAAAAAAGTCAGTGATTTGTTTTTCTTCTACTGAAAGATATACAAGAGTTACTGCATGTCTCATACAATCTTCTTAGTATACTAAGTATCACATCTGTGATATTCTCACAATAACTCTGTAGTCTATGAGCTTACTATTTAAGCAAGATAGTCAAGCTTACTTATATAGCTTTTCAAACAACTACTTCTATATAACACTGCTGACTAGTCACTGCTTCAGTATTGTCATATTACATAAAACCAGAAGTAGTAGAAGTGAGAATCATAGAAACAGAGATAGCAGAAGCAGAAGAATCAGACACAGAGACAAGTGTAGAAGATTAAGAGAGAATAGTAGAAGAAGAAGTAACAGAAGAAGCAGAGAAAGATATAAGAGACTCAGTTATACATAATATAGATAATTTCTTCATTATCATATTCTTCAAGTTCTTAATCAATGATTCAACATTGAGTTCACTATCATTAACAGACACAGATCTGTCAATATGTTAAGATTCTATGTAAATAAAAATAAATATATTAGCATCTGTGTTTATATAAAATCATGTCAGAAAACACAATCAGAAACCTGCTGAGAAGAAAATAGTTAAGAGTGTATAAGAAGATGAAGAAGATGTATCATTTATAGTAGTACATTCTGATAATTATTAGAAGATAAATAAGTTCTGATCATATTTCACAATGTATTACACTTACTGCTAATGAACTGCCTGATATAAGTACTATAAGAACACTTATTATAGAAATGAGAGGTCATCACTAGAAACATATACAATGTAATAGATAAACAGATAGAAGGTGTTGAACAGAAGAAGAGACAGTAATCTGAGATGAGATAAGAGTAATATTCAATGATGACAATGATGAAGAAGATAATTGAAGAATGAGAAAAGTTAGTAAATGATTGATATAATATAGTGAAAGTTTCTTTGTAAGAGTATATATAAGATACTAGCTGAATCAGAAATAGGTTACAAGATTGTGAATACTAGTGATATGCTAATCCGCATGAAGCTAGAACAGATGTTCTGGTTATATGAGTGTGACTGAATCTGGTGAGAGAGAATGTAGTTCAGAAGAATGTACAGTAGTTCAGAAGAATGTATGACTGTTAAATAATAACACAGCTGCTTCTGAACTTACTTACAAGTGTAAAGAGGCCATAGCAGCCACTAATTAATTTAGTGTATAATATATAAGAAGCCAGCGTACATCTGTAATTATATGCTGAGAGAAGGAACCTTTGAATCACAGAAGACTTTGTCAATAATTATATTAATATAAAGTTAATTCTTAAATTTAATAGAAATCTAGTATTGCTGTTCTCAATTCCTTGCAGAATCTATTAACTATTAAGATATTAAAACTAGATTTAATATATCTTACTATACAGAGATCAAAGACTCAGTCAGATCTTGAGATATACTGATTTTATAGTTGTTAATGTGTTGTTATCTGCTGATTATGTATTAAATACTGTTGCTGAGGTATCTTTTTGTATCTTTCTGCTGAAGATAGGCCAGGTTGGATCAGATGATACATGAGTGGGACTTGGCGTTGATGTCTTGATACACGAAGACAGACAGGGTTTTCATGGAGGTTGCACTTCAGATGTGTCTGTTGATTATGTGCTCAATATTATTGCTGAGGTATCTTTTTGTATTTTTCTGCCGGGGATGGGCCAGATTGGGAAGGGCGGTAACTATAGTTACCTAGGTAGGTAATAATGACCAAAGTTGTAAGATGCAAAACATAGTAGTTATATCTAACCAATCCCACCCCACCTGCGTCTTCTTCTATTTATATACCCTCGTCTGGCCTCATCCATGCAAGTAGCCACATCCATCCCCCTTCTCACTGGGGCTGGAGTGTCTCTTAACCAGAAGCAATTGGCTGCCGTGTGCTGCCATATGTATGCTCGCTGGTTGTCCGGCCCACGGCATCCTGGAAGTTAAGCCCTAAGGAGTAAATAATCAACTGAACCCCACGATGTTGTCATGTTCGAAGCAAGATCTCCCCGGCTCTGAGCATGGAACAGCCGGACTGAACGGATTATGGAGAGCTGGGGATGCCATCGACAAGGTGGACAGTTTCTGACAACTCCATAGTTAGTTTACTTGGCTTCTTCGAACAAAAAAGGCTTCCACCTGTTGTTCTCGTAGCCTCTAGTTACATCCATCTCGAGATCGGTTGATTTCACCACAGCCTCGCAATCCACAACCACCCCCCAACCCCCGTCCCTGTCCTGTCCCTGTCCCTGTCCCCTTTATATCTAACATTTGGCTTCTATTATTACTTTCTATCTGGTTTACACGGCGAGGGTTTCGACCAGTTCGTCTACCCGTCGCTAGCCTAGTCATGAATCCCGTTTGTGTCTTGTCCCCTGTCGCTTGTAGGAGACAACAGAGTTGCAGCAAGTCGACGACCGTGATCTAAGAATCTAAGACACTCTCGGATGGCCCTAGCAGTCTATTTAGCAGCCTTTAGCAACCCCCAAGCCCCCCCCCTCAAAGACTCAACCACCAAGCAGCGTAATTTGTGCGCGGATTCAAATAAATTATAATAATGATGAAGCCCGGTCGGCAGAAATCGATGTTCTTGTAATCAGATTATTCTTACTATTATCCCATTTCTCTTCTGATTTCATTCTCACCCTCGGGTAATACTTGTCGTTTGTGCCCGCAAATGGTCTGAGACATTTTCCCTTCGCTCGTTCTGGTTGCCAGAAACCTCCTCTTGCCACACTGTTTGGCCGCTGAGAGAGTTCCAAGATTGACTCCAGCAGCTGTCACAATTCAATTAGCGTGGGAGCCTCGTCTGAGATTCTGAGACCATTCCGGGCCGCCGCTTAGAAGACAAAGAGTCAAACCGAAGCGATTCCCCCCGCAGCAGGGCTCCTGTCATAAATAATATAATCGGTCGCATCCATCTTCCTCCCTCTCCTCCAGTCGCACAACTGACACAGTGCCGTTCTGCGTCGTCATTGTCACTCCCATAATTGCATCTGGCTCTGGCCCGGTATCACATTCTCTGCTTGCTGTGGCGGCGTGCCTGGCAGAGAAGATTCAGAGAAACGCTGGATGGGGGGGACTTGGCCTAGTCGGCGAACAAATCTTACCACGGGAAATCTGAAACTTTTCCAGTCTTCGGGGCACACTATCGCTTGGTACTTAAACACAAAACAAGAAAGAGTATTAAACGTTGGCCTCTGTGAACCAGAACATAGGCCTTCCGCATGGCTTACCGTTACCACAATGACGCTGACGCTGGCTACGATGCTCATGGCGGATCCATAGCTCGAAGCCGGGGGTCGCCGCAGACCTCGTCTCAACCTTCCTACTACGCCGACAATCCACACGCTTCCCCATCCTCTCATTCCTCCCATTCTCCCCATTCACCTCTCTCTGCCGCTCGTTTACACCCTGCCGCGCATCCAGATAGTGCCTATAGCAAGCTCCGAAAACAGCGACCAGGCGGATATCAGGATTCCCACACAACACCAGTGTCCCCAGTCTCTCCCGTTCACTATAACTTCCCTAGCCCTACGCCGCCTCCTCACGCCCAGAGAAGACCGGCAGCCTCACGGGACACAGAATATACACAGTCCTCACAGACTACATCGAGAGTCGCTCCAGTAGGAGACAGCTGGGGTGCCGCAGCAGCTGCTGGCGGAATCGCGGGCACCGCTCTCGGAACAGCGCATTCGCCAAACGAGCACCAGCGCGGATTTGACACAATGCCAGGCGGACATGATAGCATTGGGCAAAACCAATACTACTACGAATCGTCTAAACGTGGTGAGAACGGAAATACAATGGGTTCAGATCATCCTTACACCTCTGCGCCGCAGGACATGCCCCCAATGGGCTCTTCTCGATCTCCAGGCGGACAAGACCCTTACTCGTCAAATGTCGGCTTAGGTGCTTCCATGGATGGCACTGGACAAGTTACCCCAGGCCAAAGAAGCCTGTACTCGAACAGCAATAATGGACATCAACAATATATCCAGTATGGAGGTGCTGGAGGATTCTACGATGACCCTTACCAAAGGTCTCATCATAACTCGTGGGGACCTGTAAATGCCGAACCTATTAACCCTAATGATATCATCGATGACGGGGACGATGGTTTCATGCGAAAACCTCAGCGACGATCGATGCTAAGCCTTGGTAAAAATTCCAGTCATAACAGTCTCCCCGCTGCGGGTGCGGGAGGAGCTGTTGCAGGAGCTGCTGCAGGAAGAGCTCTGGCAAGCCTCCCAGCACGTGTTCAAGGTCAGACTACGGGTGGCCCTGACGGTGGTCCCGAATATGATGCTGTCTCTACTGAGAAGAGTGAATGGCTAAGTAATCAGAAACATGGGAACAAAATAATGAAATGGATTGTGGGTATCATAATAGCGCTGGTAGTAATCGGGATCGTGGGCGGCATAGTTGGCGGTATTTTGGGTTCTCGAAACAGAAACTCGGGCGGCAGGGGTGGACAGTCCAGCGACGACGACCTGGCGACGCACGGGGACCTTAACAAAGATTCACCGGAAATCAAGGAGCTAATGGCAATGGAGGGCTTGTACAAGGTTTTTCCAGGCATGGATTATACCCCTGGGGCACGCAATACCCGCTATGCCTCACTTACCCTCCTAGTCAAAACAACGTCACTCGCGACATGGCGGTTCTCTCCATGCTGACGAACACCGTACGGCTTTACGGTACAGACTGCAACCAGACACAGATGGTTCTCCACGCGATGCAGAGGCTGGAGCTGAAAGATATGAAGCTTTGGCTGGGTGTCTGGATTGATAATAATGCCACCACCAACGACCGCCAGATGGAGCAGCTGTACGAGATCGTCCGAGAAACCAAAAACAAATCCGTCTTCATGGGTGTCATCGTCGGAAACGAAGTGCTTTACCGCGGCAAAAACTCCAACTCACCCCTAACCACCACCACCGCACTGGTAAAATACATGCAGGAAGTCAAGTCCCAGCTGAAATCTATGGGCGCCGATATGCCCGTTGCCACCTCTGATCTGGGCGATAACTGGACCCCCGAACTGGCCAAGGAAGCCGATGTCGTCATGGCGAATGTGCACCCATTCTTCGCAGGCGTGGCGGTCGACGAAGCGGCAAGTTGGGCATGGAGTTTCTGGCAGGATCAAAACGTAGCCCTGACGCGAGGCACAGATAAACACCACATCATTTCAGAAATCGGCTGGCCAGCGGGGAGGCAACACTGCTCTCTCAACCCGTCCAGACGAAGACTGC